AATCAGAAGGTTCACCTTTCCACCCCGTCACTTTCCATCTAACCATTCATACATCGAGAAGAAAATCTCGACGTCCAATTGCCTTCTGGCATTTTCCTGCATGTCTCAGTGTCCTGTATGCTGTCAAATCAGACTACAGCCCATTCGTTAGACATGGCGTCTCTTCCAAAGCTTCTATAAACAGTTTACATCACGAAAACATCTCCGTAAACCAGTTTCCTTTTGTCCTATTTACGTTCGTGGTAGTTCATGAGTAGACAGTCTAGTGCATCTATACTACCTTCTTCTGGGCGCTTATTCTTGTTATAAGTGTCGAACAATTCGTGCAAATTCACACACAGGTGCTTCAAAGGATCATTTTCTTGACTGATTAGGACCTAACAAAGCCATCAATTAGGATTTGCGGTGAAAACAAAACGCATCTGAAGCTCATTTTCCCCAGGCGTGTTACAGACTGCCCAGGATCATACAGCAATAGAGGGTTTCATTTATGTGTCATGACAAGCATCAACAAGGGGTTGGCGAAGACACTAAGCCTTACAGGGAAGATAGAGCCAGGTAATGGTGGCATTGTACCAATAAAATTACATTTGATGTAAAAAGGACTTAAACGTTGCTTATTTCAATGTTCGTGTGGTCTCCGTATCTCCCAAATCTTTCATGAAGGTGACAAAATAAATGTAACAAAGGCCCTCAAGATACAAAATAGGCAAGAAATCTTTGCTTTAAGATCCATTTGGAATGACGATGTGCTACGAGCCCGAAGATACGGAATCATATGGGAAAGACGTGAAGATATTTCAGGTCCATCGCGGACATTTGCAATGCGTGAAGAATCTAACTCTGAAGTTTGAGTAGAACATGTCACATCTTTAGCACCATAGCCTAAGATACGAAATCGTATGGGAAAAGATATCAAAGTATTTACGGACACATTTAATACTGCCAAGTCCTACCCAAAAATACTCAATCACATGGGAGTCGTCTTATACGAACTTCCATGTTACGAACCTTAGCCTTCGGAGGCCACTGCATTGGCTCCGGGTTCCACTTGGGAGGCCACTGCAACGGCGCCATGTTTTCGTTGGGCGGAGGCCATACTCTTCGCTCCCGCAACTATAGGCTCAAAGAAGATACCTTGTTTCAAAAGTCATGTTCAAAGAATTTTGGTAGTTCCATCATAACCGATATCATGAAATGTAAAGTAGGTTTTATTGTACGACTTTAGGATTCGAACAATCTAAACTGCCTTTTTGGTAAATAAGCATCAAAAGCAAGCTTATTAGCATTCTGTTGTATTACGTTTTGTTAGTCTTTAATGGCAAATGTGGTACGTGGAGACGTCACACTCAAGCTCATGGCTTTATATGTACGTGCCTTCTGTTGAACAACTGACAATACAAATGTGCATTGGGACCATACAAACAATCAAAGTATACGTATAAGCAAGTACCACAGCTAACGTAAAATAAAACAAATAATTTTAAAAAACTACGTGAAATAGATGAAATGCATTAGTTTTCTAGTTGTATTGTGTTCTGATGAAGACACCATTTGCCACCGAAAGCGTCAGGTAGATTGGAACCTAATGTTTCACAACTCGGTTTCGACAACCTAGTTGTCATGTTGATGTTTGTTTATTTCCAGGGGGAAGTTGATGCGGATTCTGTTGATCATAGCAGGTCTGACAAAGTTTATGGACGATGGGAGATGGTGATGAATTCTATTTGGGATGAGATTGTAGCGTGTAGAAGTATCAGATAAATAGAGTAAAGCACTTTACCTTGCATTCTTCGTTCCCCTCGAGACACAACGATCTGGCAGCCTGCAAAAATAAGCAAGAATGTTACAGTAACAAAAAATTGATACCTTCCTGAAATATTTGTGTGAATTTCTTATTTCATTCATTGTTGCGAAGTTATCGCCGATTCTGTACATGTACTTGTACATGAAGCGACAGAGATGCATATGGCGGGAAATTACAGAAAGGAGATGAGATAACCTTTTCTGGGACCTTTACCAAACTTCCGGTTAGCGTCCTCGACGTGCCAAGCAAACAACTACGGACACATAACGCAAACACACAAACGCACACTAAAAACAAAACCTACCTACACGGAGATAACTAGATTAGGCAAGCTGCATATGGATCGAGATTTTCACTTGTGCAATCGTCGTACGATCGCCAACCAAAGGCATTCTTGAGACAGCCTTGCTTATGCCATGCAAAATTCAGTCTTGTTACCACATTAACTATCTTGGGTACTTATCAGCGGTAGTTTCTGTCATAATCTGGTTGCTTGAACATTCTACAATATCAAAATCGTTTGATAGTGCCGGTAGACAAAACTTAAATGACTTTGCCGACTGGATATTTGCCAAATTAGAAACTAGTTGGGGGAAGCGAATGAGATGACGCCCCTGGCGATGATCCGCGTCAGCCCGTCACGAAAGACAAACCGTTACAAGCCCTTCGGAAAACCGCGAACCCATCACTCTCATCCTCCATTAGCTTCCCGACAGCCCATCATCACCAACATGTGTCCGGTGCCAAGAAAACCGTGCTCCAGGGTTGGTAATGCAGCAGCTAGTGGCCGCCTTTCGCTCGGATGATTAGTCGGCGATCGATTTGGAAAGCGTGTTAGTTGTGCTGATAGGGGTTTGATGGACTAATGGTGGACATTACCACGAAGTTAAACCACCGGGATATCTACGAGTGAAAAATACTTAAAGTATCCCCCGTTAACGGTATGGACATTCCGGCACTGGTTTGATGCCAAGATGATAGCAATCATTAGCCTTCCCAATTGCGTTGTTGACGAGAAAATCTATAAGATGAGGCATAATTGCCAAGTCCAATGTCTTAACATCTTTGAAACTACGCTTGTTTTTATCGATTTTTTTTTACGTCAACCTGCGAGCGCACGGCGCTTCGTTCCATTCTGGCCAGCTAACACACATGGAGGACTGCTGATAATATATTACGACAGTTCAATCTGTCATGGAAAACACGAAAATATTCATAACAGATAAATCTTTCACTGTAGATCACTAAATTGCTATTTTTGAGGGCTAGAACGTTAACCATCTAAACACTTGGCTCACAATGGGAACATGCAGTGACAATAGAGGCTGTACGTTAGGCTGTGGACAATAACGACCCCAACAGGTTTGTCAGATATAAGATGAGAAGCAATCACACTTCATCCTGTGACAAATAAGTCTAATGAGAATTTATGGCTCCGGAGACTGACAGTGAGACGCGTACGCCCCTCTAGCAAGATGGACTCAAGATAAACGTTAGTCTACTTTGAGTTTCTATAAGCTTTTGCTGAGGATCCGGTCTATTCGTCGAATAATGGTTTGCTTTAATTTGTTTTCTAACTTCGACTTTTATATTTAGAATGGACAATGCTCACCCGGTGAATGATATGTGGTCTTAGCATACTCTACTACTGTATACGTAGCGGACTGATTCGGTGATAAAGTGGTGACCGGTGGTCCAACTCTCGTGTACGACAACGGAAAAGGGCGCAGATGTCTACAGAGCTATTTGATGTTTCTATGTACTCTACTGGCGTGGCGTCTTCTTTGAAGTCAGTGGCTAATGAATAGCCCCATGTTTTTGAAAAACGGGTTTTGCGATCTTAGTGTAGTCTAGTGTAGGCTTGGGGAGAACAACAGTATTGGACTGGCAAATACTACACTTTGATAAATTTATGGCAAATACATGCCCGAAGGCTAATTGCAGGTACATGTAACATGGACATAATGATGACGATTACCTGTACTGTACTTGATTGACGAAGACAATGAGAAATCGGCCTCTATTGATTACCCCTAACTACCACTAAATGAGCCAATTCAAAAAGTACTTTGTCTTTCGGTTCTGATACATCCAATTAAATGCTCCGTTAAGGTTTTCGATTGAGGATCTGATCTTCATATATCTGTCAGTGTAGAGATGGCAATCTGGCAAAGTGACCGATTCTACCGATGGACATCCAGATCGGAGTCTGTAAATTTTTGGATGTTCCCTTAAAAGACAGTCAGAACGCTCGACTTCAGTTCCTGTATGTGACTTAACAGATCAATGGATTGGCTTGGAACTAGGGATGCAAAGAAGGGAGACGCTAACACGTCGCGTAGTATCGCGTGATCACGATCTTTGTCAACAGAGACTCTGATCGCGATCTCTACTGGTACAGTGTAGAACCGGCGATTCTGCCAGATCACAATCTCTACCCCGACATATTTGCCCGGCTTATGGGAATCATATGATACTGTCCAGTATACCTGAAGTTATAGCTTGTATAGAAAGTCGCTTTTAACTACGGCTCCTTAACTAACGACGCCGTCACACACGTCGTAGTTCGTCGTTCGATTTTCAAATGTCTTAGAAATTTCAAGCAGAGCTGTATCAGCACTAGATGCGATAGTGGACAGCATTGAAGGGTGCACATATTTTGTACTGCCTGTTGCAAAATTATTTAACAGTTGTTATTGAAGATGGTGCAACATTATTTGTCGGTGCACGGAGGTGAAAATTACATTTGATGGAGAAATGTGCCAAAACATGTAGACCGCTCGTGTCAAAAACCATGAGAGTCATCACGTATTACACATAGTATAATACCATAGCGATTGATTTTTCTACCATTAAATATTAATATTCTGTAATCAGACGCAACAGGTGCACCTGGCATTGCCCTTTCAGCATCATTTTCCAAGTGCTTACTGTGTATAGGAGACAGGCATGTTGGTTTGGTAGGTAGTTCTTTAGGCCCCATTTCCAGTAGAAGGCGATCACCAGGTGACCATGGAGCGACCAAACTTGGAATTGTGTGACCCTTGATTTTTACAATTGGAATATGATGCAGGATGAAAACGTAAAAAAATCGTCCTGGGTCTATAAAATTCGTTGAGCGATCTGTCAAATATTCGGTCGCTCAGCGATCGCTCAGCGGCCGCAGCCTCTAGATGATGAGGATGTTAGTGTAGACCATCGAATGATCATTCTCCAGTGTTGTTGTCAAACTGCGACGAGAGCATTATAAACTGAACACCCGCTACATGCAGCACAATCACTGAAAACTAACGAAGTCTCCAAGACTATCCCTGATATACATATATGCTAAGAATCTGTAAACTTACCGCAAAGGAAACACACACAGCAACAAGTAGACAGAGAACCGATAGGAGGAGACAGAATCGCCGCATCTTCTGAATGCAACCAGCTTCAGCAACAAATGTTAAGTCGGAACCTAGGCGGAGACGCTCCCGCCGCAGTCTTCGTCTGAGGTCTGGCCCACTTTGGATGTGGTGGAGTAACGCAGATCAGTACCATTTATTACATATTCTTTCCCAGGAGGGTAGATGGTGGGCTGTTCTCAAATCATTAGCATAATGAGCCTCAGAATCGCGCTTTGACACGCCCACTCGAGATGCGGGGGTGTAGAACGTGTTACGTACATTTAGCCTCGGCTGGGTTTCCTCAGGGCTTTTGTAATGCCCTTTTTTATGACACATCTCTTCTATCTCTACGTATGTACTCAGGTTCTTGTACCAGCATAAGAAACGCACAAGAACCTGAGCACAAATGTAAACGTATAACGGTGGGGTAACATTCGTCCTCGGCCGTTGAACGATTACAGAGCTGTAGAATTTGCACGCAGGCTGTGACAGACCTAACTACTAACGAGGATCTAATTAAAATCAGTCTTTTCCGTAATAAGACATATAGGTCACATGCATGACTATTACAAGAAGTTTGCGAACCTACGGCAATCGTGCCATGTATGTGACCGGACTCTAAGCCCCCCCCCCCCCGAAAAAGCAGCCGTAGAGCCTGCTAAGGAGGCTAACGTACATTGTATGAACATTGTATGCACCTAACAGGTTTGTGTTATATCAAGGAGGTTCAAATCGTCCATAAAACGTCCTTAGTTATATCAAGCATACGGACACGTTCTCGGTAATGTTGTTGCTTATTCCTAGAACCTCAACTTTATAAAATGTGGTTACGTCAATTGACATGATCCACAGCAGAGACTACACGTTACAATTATTTATTGTCTGATAAGATAACAGAGAACTGGTGAATCATCTTTCATTTGAGATACTTATCCCTGAAGATCTGTATAAATAAAAGATGTACATTTATCTCGACAAAACCGCATGAAAGTGCTGATACGATACCATTACCCTCTTGAATATGTATTTAGCTAGGAATGATTGCAGTATGCTGTTTTCCTATTTGTTTGCTTCGCATAACCGGTGTGTTACGCCTTTACCCCTTCAGGCGTAACACACCAGTTGTTTACAGTAGGTACAAGCTGAGTAAGACCAGACTGTAAAGTTGGATCCACTCACGTCGGGATGAACCTCTACTATATCATACGTAGGGTGGGTTCTTTATGGTGCTACAGGTGTAGCTCTGCCGAAACATGGGACCTCTGGCTTTACGTTCAATCCAAGAAGACATCCCTACCCGAAGCTACTCATTTTCACCTGAGTAGAGTGAGGGACTAGGTGCCTTTTCCCAAGGGCACAGCATTGTGGTCTGGTCGTGATGTGAACCTAGAGCCTCTACTCTAGATTCTATGTCAACAACCCCAACCACATGACCGCCTTGCCACGTATGTTCCCACCACTGCTGCAGGATGTGCCCACAACTGCAGATGTAGAACCCATTGAACTATGCTGAGTGAAGAGTGATGGTTGTATCAAACGCCTCGGGTGGTTGGATTATGTTTTGAGCCATTGTATCTACGATGCTTATTGGGTGATCATACGTGACGTCAGAATGACGCAGTTGCATGACCAATCCAATGAGGCCTAAGGTGTCCGTCTCTCATCTTAATAAGACATCATAACCATTTCCTAACGTATTGAAAGCTGGATTTACTTACTATAGCAATCATGTGAGCTAGATTATGTATAAATGTATCTGTGAATATGATTTTTTTATGACATGTGCTTAATCCGGTGCACGTGGTTCGTTATTCATTAATTCATTTATTATGTTGCTGTTAGTTGTAAACCATTGTATAGTTTGTATATTGCAGTTGGAAAATATACATAGTCACCAATACTGCCTATGGATAATCTAATACTATAAACACTTTATAGTTGGCATTCTAACACTTTGGATGGCACTTTGAATGCCAATGTACCTATTGAGCATTCTCCAGGGACATTACAGGTTAGTTTACCATGGTAAAACTAAACCAAACTTCCCCTCGCTTTGTTTTAAATCAGTAGGACTAGGAATTTGGTATGTTGAAGACCACACATTTGTCATCTTTCCCTTTTAGGAAAGGCAGGTACACGTCTGTTTGGAGATTGATGTCCTCGTTCTGGCCATGACAAAGACCTGCGGTTCGCGTTCCACTGTTTGGCCTGAGACGCTCTCAATAATTGATCGCCCTCGAAAATTCGAGACCCCATTTGGGAAGTGAGCCACAATCGCCTTCTAATCGTTTCCTCCTAAATGTGGCCCTAAAGGGCATATTGGAAATTGCTTGGGCTGACCCGAATGTCGCGAGGAAGGCACTTACTGACCTTCGTGTCAATCGCTCTCCTCCCTCGTGGTGAGAGGAGGTGTGACACCGTAAACTTAAAAAAAGGTGCTCAGGTAATCCGCTTCATTGGGGAGAAAGGAATAATAGATTCTGATCCGGTGGCATATTTTCCATTTCTCTATACGGGAAAGATGTTTTGTTTCTACGCTAACATACTGTATTTGGATTGAATTTATTGCTTTTGCCTCTAATAGACCAACAACAACATAAACAAATGATAAACATAAATTCGTACAAAAATAGATTTGAAATTACCATAATCAAATAATAAATACATTACACATCAATGAATAATATTAATGAAAAACGGTGTTGATATACAACCCTACGAATACCGAAATTGAAACAAACTAAAACAGATTGAGTCTAACGTACTGGTTATGTAAACAACATTACGTAAATTGATCAAAATAAAATAGTACTGTAACATCTTGTTATTATCAATTTACGTAATGTCGTTATACCCACACAAATGCAAGAATTACATGGAACCTGCATATCTGTGTTATGATTATTGCTTGTGTTCTGTTAATTTGCAGTTTGGACATAATATTATTTATTACTAAGCAAAAACAGTAAGCAAAAACTTATCTTGAAAGATCATCTTGCACAACTGCAAGGAAGTCCCAAAGTAAGTCTTCCTTTGCCAAATCAACAACTAATTAATCATTTTAGCACAAATGAAATAAATCAAGTTAAGTAATGCATAAGATACTATATTATCAGGGTTTTATGCCAATTACACCCAAATTGTCCTGATCCCCGTTGTTTTACAGTTTGTCCCTAGTGCAGCGCCTCTGGCCGAATTCGTATGGAAATCCACATGTCCCATGGCGCCGACAGGGAAACAGGAAGGAGCAGACATTAGTTAATTAGTTCTACATGCTCACCACATCCCCTCTCGCTGTAGGAAGCCGCTGTTGATTGCACTTCGCTAAAATTAGGAAAACCCCGTACAGACAACGTTCCGTAGAAAACGTTTCTACCTTAAACTTGAAAAAAACTGACTCTTCTTGTCAATGTTTTTTTCCACCATGTTTCACCAAGTTTAAAATTATGACACGCAACGGCGCAGTCGAAATTCGTCATGATTCGTGATGTCGTAGAATTTTCAAGCAGGTAGTGACAGAACCAACCACCGACAAGGTATGACACAACCTCTTCGGTAAAAAGGCAGCTGTATCATACACCGTACATGTACGAATATCCCAAGAATGTCTGTTCAGTTTGTGAATGTACGACGATCGTAGATACATGTGGCCGGAAACATGTAAATCACCTCAGTAAAGGTATGACAGATTAAGGGCACTTAAAAATATTCATTTGGCCAATTAGATGCATTAACTAATGAAAGGAGAAGAATAGACTCTTCTATTGGAATTTAAGGGTCTGTATCTTTACGATGAGTCACATATAAGTCGTTAAGGTTACGACTAGACAAAGATGGCACTTCCCACAAATCTTGTCATTATGGGTTTGTGTGCAGACCTGATTAGTGTGGCAGTTGGTATACCCCCGGGGTCGTACTCTTTTCCTTTGTTAGTTCCAAATAGCGCGTGCATGCGGCTTTCTTGGATTATTAATGGCGTAGATTACCTTTTCGACTACATCTAAGATTACTTCTGCAGGATTGCTCTCTAGAGTCACTAGCTTCGGTTGTACAGATTGTGCAACGGTCGTTATGTAGCTTCCAGTGTGGAATGAGTTGCCTACTTCAATTTCCGACTCGTTGTGACTGTTTGGTCTTGAAATAGAACATGACAACTTGCTTATAAGAGTTCGTTGATGATGAAACTGTTTTTGAATTATCGTCATGAGCATTTACTGCCAACAGTTATGTATTTTACATGAGAGAGTAGTGACATTTTTAAGCGTAAATGTACATATATAGGCTCATTACCAATCTACCTCGGCATTACTGGTCTTTTACAAATTAGAAACTGATTGATATTAATACGCATCCTTAGTTAATTGTCTGCATAGGTTAGTATAAAGGATGATGGCTTTCGTACGAATAGATTCAAGTAGAAAAAGTAGTCCGTTCATTTCCAAAACACAATAAATGAGGCAGTTAATAGTTATAGTTTTGACATATTTTGTATCATAGAAGACTGATAGTCGTGCTGTAATTATCAGATACCAAAGCCGGTAACTCTTCTACAGTACCAGGGAAACTTGCCAGGGGGTCCAAGATGTAATCACATATCAAATGCCATGGATGCATGACAATCCAGCCATAAAGTCTTGAGGGATGGTGAAAAATCACGAACAGAGAATCAAGAACAATCGCTAGTAAGGAAGGAATCCTCTTGACAAAGGTAATAAACGGTGTAGTTCTGGCAGGTAGACCAATCAAAGTCAGTAAAAGCTAAGCTGCCTTTGTCTTGCTTGCTATGGAGAGTACACTACGCTACGTGCGATCAATACAGGGGATTTATTATAGATTGACCACGGCAAATGAAAAAAAAGAGCTTCAAATTTCCCAGTTGAGAATAAGCCTTTTCAGTTAGAAATGAAATGGATGATTAACGAAGTCGTTGGTTAGACCAATCCTGTTTTTGGAAGTGGGTTATATTATTCAGAACGGTGGTGAGGCCTACCGTGCATCTATTGGAAAACAAGATCATTAATGGTCTTCGTTCCACATGGGTAGTCAATAGCGGAGCTCACACACCAGTTCAACAGTGTTTCTTTCACACACTCACTGCCCTGTCTAGAAGCATAGGACTGTT